ACCCCTCCCAATCCCATCCCAAATCACAAAAATAACACGGATCAAGCTTAAGTTCCGATGGCAGGATCAGCCATATCCGGTTTTGTGAAAGTGGGACAGAAAACAATAACAATCCATTTTCAATAATTATTAGTTTTGTTTCCTCTTTTCTATACAAAATGATGTGATATAAAATGTGACGTATTAGCCAGTTGACGGGTCAACGAAAAAAAGCTTTTTTGCTAAACTGCGTTTTTCATTTAATGATCGAATAGGTCAATGCAAAAGGAGCATAAAGTACAAGCCATCTAAGCAGCACGAACAGATAATACTCCCGTGAGAAAATTCGATGTTGGCAGCAACCTTATGTTAGTCTATGATGTCGAGTATGCAATGTTTCGATTATAAAACCTGTTTGCATATGGCCAGTTATATACACAATCCCATGAGCATTGTATGGCTTTGAAAAATATTTTCGTGTCGAGGAAATTAGCTTTTCTTAGCCACGACGAATGAAAACCAAAACACAAAGGCGTTGATGAAAACGTTTCGACCCTCTTGGAAGCTAATTTCCCCAAAAATCATGAGCACGATGCCTAAGTTTTTCAGTGAGATCCGTTCCATCCATGGGTCTCGTGTTATTATATCTTCGTGTCTTTGTAAATAGAGGTCAACAGAAAATTATTTATCACAATTTTAAACAAAGATGAGCGACTTGCAAATCCCTTGCGGTTTCCTGTTAGTGACAATGAAAACGCCATCCACCTGGTTTAGGAATTACCGTTGGCAATTCCTTCTGCGAAATTGTTTTAACTACTTATGAGTAGCATGACATTCAGGGGTCAAGTGAGCAAGCTGTGCGACTTATCACATTGGATATTTTAGCCAGAATGTATTTATTCCAAGTACAACGGCTTCAAACAGAATGCTACTACGATTTTGAATTGGAGGAAAGATTAGTATCGCAAATAGACTGAACACCAAGGTAAATTGAGAATATATGCACGAAAAGCGTTTCGTGCGATTCTTCACTCCGGAAACCATTTCTCGGCCTCCAGGGGATTTCCCCCACTATTGCCCAACTCACGCAAATATAGAGAAAGATACTAGTTCAAAGGCTCGCATTTTCAGCATTTGATCGAGTCATTTGTTGTTTCAAAGGGAGGATTGCCACAGAAATCCATTTTCCGAGATGAACAAACAATCCGATGTAAAACAGCGTAAGAAAATATAAATGACGTTTTCTCACGACTGTCAGTTACAGGATACCAGTACAACTTTTGCTAGTCTGTCGGCGATTCAGTCTAGAGCCCAAAAACAGACCAGTATCCACGTACACGTGCTGTACTNATTAGGGCTAGAAACCTCAGACAAACTCTTGAAGGAATGTTAAAGTATGCTGCTAAGCACACTATCTTGGGAAAAATCATTTAGCGAGAGAGAGAGAGTAATGGAACGAAGGCAATCGGTGCTTCTGGAAAAAAGAAACAGGATCAATCGGACATAGCCAATTAGGATTTTGAATAACGAACTCCTGAGAGAAATGCTGATCGGAATGTAAGTACAATGATCTGGTTGTATCCATGTTTATCAATAAATAGTATGTGAAGGACTTGACTAATTTTCCCTGGAAGCACATAACCGGTTTTACGGCTCTTGTCGCCAGGTATGCGTGTCCGGTAATCCTTTGTTAGTTCATCATTAACATAAAGCGGAATACAGTGAAGCGAACTTCACTGATCGCTACCAAACTCGCAATGGATACAAACTTAGTGGTAAAAGGTAGGGAAGACAGGGTTTGGATGTATTTTAAGGGAGGGAGTGAAAGTGAATCTCTGTGGTCAAAACAACATAGAGCGCATTCATACACTTGTACCTAGGAAGTATATTCTCGACACAATGCCGGGTATATTTGTTTGGTGGTAGACAGCTTTGTTGTCGCCCGGTTCAATACCACACCCACTTGCTAGTGCCTTCTGCAAACACAATTCGGAGAGCTGCATATCAATTGCATTATTAAAACCTTTCTACTGCACAAACCTAAACAGGTTGCAGCTGACTGAGTTCATAAATGTCATACGACACCGTAGGGCCCATGAAAATGAGTGAGCGATCGTTGTGCGTAAACATACTTCGCGACTCCAGCCTACCTTAATTCTCAATAGTAAAATCGATGTTGCTTCCAATATCTAAATCAT